GAGGGGGGGGGATGGGGTTGGGGAGAGGAGAAGAAAAGAAATCAGAATTTCCGGGGGGATGCCTCGCTTTATACCCCGGGGGCGGTGGCAGCGGGGCGGAATAGCGGGCAGTATTTACCGGTAAGGACGCGGCGCCGGTCTGCACGTGGCCCCGAAGGCGTGTACGGCGATAGGCACGTGCTCTTAGACAAAGAAGTGTTAGGCACGTGCCACCCCAGGTTGTATACCACGTAGGTCGCAGTATCAAATACTATTGAATCGGGATCTTAAACCTAGCCCTCGTAACCCGGCATTCCGAGTTGAAGAATTCGGACTATGAGTGGTGGCAATATATAGAAAAGATCAGCTTTACCGATGCTATTCACTTGCGGTGTTCTCTCTACTTATAGGTGACATCTTCTTTCATTGTAGGCAAACATTTCAATTCAGGCGGCTTCAAAGGAATCTAGCATTGTTATCTTTCTTTCTGGCTCTTTTACAAAGAAGTAAAGGAGAGAAATATGCGGATGTGGAAAAGAAGGTCATAAAAATTTAGTCTGCTGATCCAAGTACGAATAGATTACGGGATGAACCTGTCCCACAATACACAAATGATTGGCTGTGGGGTTTCTAATTTTGACCACCTTCTCATCTTTCTAGGTATGTATACGTTGCCTTATACCTCGGAGGCGGTACGGCTCTGTCCGGGCGGCAGTGGACAGGGTGCCGGGCGGGGGCGGTATCGGCGGGGTACTGGAGATGCCGGGCGGGAATGGGTCGGGCGGGAAATGGCACGTGCGCCCCGCTCGTATTCGCAGGGAGGAGGCATTCAAAAGATATCAAAAATGACATTGTAGTATTTAGCTCTAATACAATATCAAAGGCAAATTAATGTCACATAATAAAGTACCTTGGAAGACGTGTCAAAAAAAATCTTGCTGGTATGAATTGATTGAAGAGTTTAGCAAGAAAGCTACCTATCTACCTAGGTTCTCCACGAACATGAGCCCATAGAGACTGTTGTCTCCCTCTTACAAGTTATAAGCCTTTGTTATTAGTATCAAATAGAATACTGTATTTAAGAATGAGTCCCCAGTATACAGCGTCACATGCGTGATTAGCAATAGGAGGCTAGGGGAAGAGCAAGAGAACTGTCTCTGAATTCATGATCATAATCCAACTACTGTCATGAAGCTCTAAACAGCTTCATGAGAATAAAGGGACAAAGGCCTAAAAGCCAAAAAGGAGCACAAAGGGATCAAAAGCAGGTATCTCAAGCTGCATACTCGCAATACCTCAATGCATCGGTTGAAGCATTAAAGGGACAGGAGAAATGTCCACCAAAAATTATGTAGTGCAAGATCTATGATATTAGGCCTATTGAATCAAAGGAGACATGGAAGATGACAAGCTGGATACAAGGCACAGGTAAATAAAGTGATCTAGATCATATCGGTCAACGGACATTCCCTCTCATATTGGATGGTAATCTGCATATTCAGGCCAGGTTTTTGGGAACAGCCCTATTGGAATCTCGGCTGTTTGGACTGGTGCTGGACCCCACAATATAACGCAGAATGAAAGACTCCACTCTTTCTCAGCAATAGTGTTTGGGGCAGGGGTAGGGGCACAAGACTGAGTTATGAAAATCCACGGAAGTGCATATTGTAGGTGTGAATGGCGAAAGTTTGATGAAGGCTCTGGTAAGCAATGTGAGCGTCCGGCGCGAGGTCGATGGGTCTGAGACGGATGAATTGTAGCGTGAAGGAACAAAAGGGGTTCGCAAGCTCATTGAGAATATTTGCCGGTAAGGGCCCAAAAGATGAGGGTGTGAGTGCTGAAAGCGCAGCTGAGTGCGGTGGGCCATGAAGCTAAATTGTTAATTTTTTTGTGCCAGTCAGAATTAAGACCAGTTCTGTGGGCTGCGATTATGAAGAAGTGGATTTCTGGCCGCGTGCGTCGCAGATTATGGGAGTGATCGCATGAATGAGTGTATTGGGACATGTGTCGACTTGCCATCTCGAGAGGCTGATTGCTGATGGTCTGGAGTGTGTCGAAGAGTAGGGGCATGTGGATGGAATTGGGGGCAATCTTGGGAGCTGCTTGTGTAGGTGTGTGGTATAGCTGGATAACGCGTCGATAAGAGACTTGGGTTGTGTCGCATGTCAACAAAAGGTATGCCTATGGGGTTTCATGCTAATACTTCTACAATTTCTTCTCCAAGCACCCGGACAAGCCGTATAGTTGATGAAAAAGTGAGGGTTCGCGTCAACCGGGGGTAGTGTAAGCCCAGTGACACAGTGCAACGAGGCATGTGCAAGCACAGAGGCCAAGTCGCGAGGTCCAAATATTAGAATAATCGGGACGTCCTGCAATGCAGGGGTTTCAGCGATTAAACCGAACAGAACAGATACTACACTTGATCAAAGCCATGAGGCAAAGAGAAGCTGGGGGAAAAAAAGAAAGACAAAAACTCTGGGGGCCAGCCTTCGCTTTATACCCGGAAGGCGGTGCGCCTCATGAAGGCAGTATCCACATGGCAGGTGCGGCCCGGCCCGTTAGCGGGGACCACACCGGCAGATCAATTAGCCGGGCTTACACGTGCCACCATATCACCCCACCATATCACTTATTATTACATTGTGTAACTACATATGCTTCGTGCAAAGCGGAGAATCTGCCTGTCTAGGATATGCTCTAAAAATTGCATTTGGCGCCGGCGACATTTGCAATTTTTGTCTTAAGCTAGCACGTACGAAGCACAGCGCGACAGAATTACAAGCTGAGTGAGGATAATAGTGGTAGAGAAGTAGACAAAAAGACTCAACCGTACTACAATATTCACATGATAACTAGGTTCTGTTATTCTGAAAGACACCTGGGCATCTATGGATGGGGTGAAAATGGTCTTTAAATATTTTTGGGCTCCGTGGATGCTTGGGATCTTCCGATGGATTGGGTTGCGTTTAATGCTAGGCCAATGTTGGGTCCATATAGCTGACTGGCGATCCAGAGTGGGCGGACAATATTTCATGAAGACAAATTTGAAATAAAAATAATAATGCCTTTGGTCTGTTGCTGGCAATGGCGGCTACGAAGGGGCATAGCGGCCAGTGATAAATAGGCAGTATTTTGTCAATTTTCGTCTAATTTGGAAACTTTTGCCTGAATTATAGACCACCTTTTACACCGCCTAATACCACGTACTGTAAACCAACCTCCCTTCCTATGTTGTATGGACTACAACGCCAACGGGTCAGACTCGGCTGCAGACTTTCCGAGGTGTGGTATTTACCTCGAGAAGTGCAGTAGGATATCAGGTAAATAGTGGCAGGTTTAGGCGTACAGTAGTGGTTGATAGGAAGAAGAAGGCGTGGATAGAGCGAGAGGAAGAGAGTAATTAAAAGTTAACCACCTGAAAAGTGGTGATATATGGATTTATATGGCAGGAAAAGCTTCATTTTTGGAGTGATATCCTAGCCTGAGGAGGGGAGAATTGAGATACCTAGCTTACTAAGGAACCTGTAATAGTAATTCAGGTATTTTAATTTTCCGCTTGTCCAAAATCAGGCACTAATAACAAAATACAGGCTATTTATCACGGCCGCTATGTCCCTTCGTAGGCGGCAAAGGGATAGCGCTGATTCGTCGGAGGTCCACTTTGTCCTAGTAAATGTGACATGGATGGATCCCCTGCATAATCAGTTACCGCACATTTCACAAATATTCCACCATAATACTCGACTCATATCGAGGCGCTGATTCGTAAGCGTCATAACATGCGAGGCTAGTTATGCGGTAGTCGTGGCTTACTTTGATAGGCTGCACTACGTTATAAGTCATACTTAGCTCATGCGCTGCTCGAGCCTCATATTCAAATACATATGCGTTGTGCTTTCCACAAAAGTGGGAAGAATTTGGGATTCTGGACAGACAGTCATGGAAGCTGTAGGTTTAGCCTTCGCTGCAATTTCTTTGTTTGGTGAACTCGAGGCTTGCGGCAAGAGCCTTTGTCGATTTTCTCGAGATATTCGAATGGCCAAGAAGGAGGTCTTACTGCTCAAATACGAGATCGCAAATTGCCGTGTGCTAGCGAGCATTTTTGAGGAAGTCATCAGTCCAATTCAGAACAATGTCATGCGAATTGCCAGGGAGCGAAATCTCGACCAGGGACTTCGAGTACAATCAAAATTGGCCCACGACCAGATTCGAGAGATTGCCTACAAACTGAAACCATTGCACCGGAGAAATAGTGCTGGTTTTGCGAAATTACGGGCAAAGATCCGATGGCATTTTACGAAAGATGACTTTCAATTTCCGATGGCTACACTCCAAAATGTGAAATCCAGCCTCGATCTATTAGCAACACTCTCTTCACTTGACTCTGCTGTTGCCAACTTTCACCGAGCTCCAGACTCGGATTCTATAACAAGATCACAAGCTCTTGAGAGGATGTGAGTAGTACAAGTATATGCAATATACCGGGAACTAACTAGGGATCAATAGAGTGGCCTTGGAAAAGCAGGCTTGTCGGACAGAACGGCAGTTCAACTATTCGGTGAGAGTGCTTCACGAGCAGAGTCATATGGATGGACATCTAGATAGTGCGGGAAATATCCAAGTGATTACCGTTATTATCGAAGAGATCAAGAAGGGGACCGTCAAAGAGGCACGAGACTTGGTTAAGAAATTTTCCACCCAATCCCAAGTCGCACCGCCAACACACCCAGATGCTTCATCGCAGTTGACATCTGCGGATGAAATCTACTCACAAAGCCCTGCTTTCGTCCGGGCCTCCCGGTACTCAAGCGCCGAAGACCAGATAAGAGAAAGCCTGAGGGATCCTTCTCTTCGTCCTCGAAGTTTCACTAGAGATGGTAGCCATTTATCTGTCAAAGAGCATACACCGGTTGGTAGTGAGTCGAAGCCTCGCGAAGTTCGCGATAGAAGCCTAGTCTCTTCTCGCAATGGGGACCTGAGTATGGTTGAGCCCGACGCAGGACAGTCCGTTTCCTACGTCTCCAGGCACATGGTCATCGATAATCCGCACTCTCCTAGTGCATCACAAAGTATCTATCGACCTATGCCCCCTTTCGATGAGTCTGATCTGCGCGAAAGGGAGACACGAAACAATCGGCGTCAAAGTCGCTCACGCAGTCAAAGGGGAGAATGAAAAGCCAATATTGAGGGATTGTTGAAATTGTCAATAAAGCTGCAGAGACATATCATATTGCCATGAGCACTGCTGTTTCCGACGTCTGATTGCCATAGGATGCTTCCACCATGACGCTGGCTTTTGGCCCTGTCCATGAACGCCGAGGGTGCACTCAAGATGCCGCACACACTTCCATGGTCATGCAAGAATTCATGACTACACTGGCATGCCTCGACAGCGAGCTCGGCATTGGCGCTATCTCCTCCCAAGTTGTCAGATCTTCGTTTTCTACATGAAATATTCCTAAGGCTACATTGCTACTGTTAGAGGGTATATAGGACAACTAGGATTCAATAATGAGAGTGAATGGACTAATACAAAATGAGAATATTGAACATGAGAAGCAGGGGTTTAGAGTCGGAAATCTTGTGCCGATGTTTAAGCTTTGTCATTCGGATTTTTTCTCGGGGGTTCCGATAGATTGTCAAGTCAGTGTCCATTCATAAATATTTCAGTGTATTCCAAGGCTGAAGACCAGGCAATTGTATGACTGAATGGCATATGTATCCCTTTATGGTCTTGAAAAGGTCTCACTTGGGCAGGTTCTACATGGAAATCACATTTTGAGGGAAAGACCGACCCAGTATCTCTAAATCTTTGCCTCGGTATACATGAAGGAGAACATTTGTATGTAAATTAGGACTGAGTAGATATGTGAATAAGCCGAGGACAATACATACTTCATAAAAATATAAATATATAAACACATGTCTCTTCAAAGTTGGTTTAGTTCATATTCTTTTTTGGGATGCTGATGTCAACACTCAACTTCTTGAATACAACGTCCATAATACTAAGAACCAGAATTAATCCCACTGACACCGCTAGCACTATCCTGGACTTGTTTGGTCCATAAGCCGCTAAACCAACTCTCAGGGTCTTGAAGAAGCTCAGCAGGCCTCCCAGATTCAACAATGGCCCCATTTTCCATGACCAACACAAGATCAAAGTCCACAATGGTGCTCAACCGATGTGCCACTGCAATTACTGTACTGTCTTGGAATTGTTCCGAGATCAATTTCATCATCATGGCTTCCGTCTGCATATCTACCATCGAAGTAGCTTCATCGAGGAGCAGGATGGGAGACGGTTTTGGCTTCAACAACACTCGCGCAAAAGTAATCAGTTGCTGCTGGCCGGCAGAAAGTGTCTCTTTCTGAATGAGGCTGTCTAAGCCTGCTTCTTTAGATAATAACCAGTCCATCATTCCGACCCGCGAAAGCGAAGACATAATAGCCGCGTCGGTACGATTCTGTAATGGATCAAGATTTGTACGAATTGAACCAGGCAAGATTAGTGGATCCTGGGGTAGCGCGGCTAGCTTCTGTCGAATTGTCTCTCGAGGAACTTGGCTGATGTCGAGGTCATCTATTAGGATTCTTCCCTTTGTGATCTCGTTCAGTCGTAGTAGACCTAATATTAGGGAGCTTTTCCCACTATAAGTCGCTTAGAGACAGGAATTATTTTTGCTGACATTGAGGACCTAAACATACCTTCCTGAGCGCCCACAAATGCCTACCTTAGCACCGGGAGGTATCGTTAGATCTATTCCCTGGATTACAGCATCAAGGTCGCTCCTGAGTACTATATTAGGGCATGGTAAAGGGTGAAAGAACGTAGTTATCTCATCTTACCGGTAGCTTAGCGCAAGATCGACGAATTGAATTCTTCCTTCAGACGGCCAAGCATTCGCAGGAGTATAGCATTCCCGGGGAAGGTGCTCAGACGGAGTTTCAGATTCGAAGGATTTCAATCGAGCCAATGCCCCAATTGAGGTTTCAAGCGAAGTCCATGCTTCAATAACGTACGCCAAAGTCGCACTGATAGCAGAAACATTGTTGAGTGCAACACCAAGAGCACCGCCAGATGTATTGCGCAGTTCAACAGCCAGAACGACAAGTACGACAACGATTCCCATCACTATCAAGTTCAAAACAAGAGTCAACCAGCATTGAATAGAGTACATGAGATAAAACGGTTTCTGCGACTCGTCGGTAAGGTGCATGTTGAGCTGACGGAAACTTTCTTGCCAGCCAAATCCCCTAATTGTAGCGATCCCATCGCATGTCTCGAGGAAGCTAGAGAAAAGGGGAGATTTGGCTTCAAGATCCAAGTATCTGATCTGTCGCGAGGTACGAAGATAGAACTTCTGCAAGATATAAAGAATGAACATGATCGGGGGAAAGGTCAGTGCGGTCCATGGGGATGATTGTGCGATGAGCACAACTTCAGCAATTGCATCAAGAACACCGTCTAGTGTCTGTATCATTGCACCTGGGAGTCTCATATCGATTAAAGACATATCCTGACTAAATCGATTGAGTATCACTCCGGTATCAGTTGAAACAAGAAATGCAAGAGGAGCTGCGGTAACGGCCTTCAGCAGCCTTCTGTGCAACCGAACTGAAGTTCGAGGCACGGATTCAACCATAAAAAGCCAGTAGACAAGGAAGAAGCAGATAGCCGATGAGACTCCAAAGCCTGCGTAGCCAGCGATGTATCGGGTGCTGCTTTTTCCTGGTTCCTGAATTTCTGCTTCGGACCACCACTCGAGCCAAATATTGGGGAATCTGCTGAAGAAACAAAATCCAATTGATGCAAAAAGAACTAATATCACGGCAGTCCAGCCCATTTCCTTCGCATAGAGAATATAAAGACTGGAGTCGCCTACTCGGCGAGATGCATCGGCAAGTGCTTGACTTGCTTCCATGTCCTGTTCTTCCAAGACATCGGGTCTAGGAGTGCTAGGAGCAATATCTTGGTGTATCGGAACTTCGCTTTGTAAATCGACAGGTATCTGATCAGAAGACTGAGTTCTCACACTTAAGCCGTCGTGATCAATTGTGATGATTGTGTCCATCTTGTACTTGAAATGCCCTGCGGCTGTTAGCAAAAATACTCTAAAATATCGTATGAGATAATCTCACTCTTGTGCGTTGCAAGAACTACAGCCAAGCCATACTTCTGACATATACCGTGCTGTCCCAATACTCGTTGAATGACCTGATTCTCCGTGGTAGCATCAAGCCCACTAGTAATATCATCTAGCAGAAGAAGCTGTTTCCGGGAATAGATAGCTCTTGCGAGGGCAATACGCTGTCTTTGACCCCCGCTGAGGCGCACGCCTTTACTTCCAACAGCAGTCATGTCTTGCTGTGGTAGATGGAGGATATCTGTGTCGAGACAGCATGCCTTGATCACCTCGTTATACCATGTCTCATCAAAGTTTGAAGGACCTTGAATGAGACTACGGATAGAGAGGTTTGGCAACCATGGCTCTTGAGAGCAATATGCAATCCCCAATCCCGGTTGTTTTAGCGTTTCCCCTTCTGTCTGGACAATCTCGCCAAGTAGGGCGAGTAACAAGGCACTCTTGCCACTCCCAACTGGCCCCACAAGTAGGGAACTACTGCCTCGGTTGACTTTGAGAGAGACATTTTTTAAAACAGGCTCTCCAGTTGCTTTGAAGGAAAATGAAGCGTTCTCCATCTGGATCAAAGGCTTGGAAGCGTTGCTCAGATCCGTGTGCTGTAAGTCATTGAATTGTATAGTGTTTGCATCTGAAGTGGATTTTGTGCGTAATTCCTTTTGTTGGTGCTTGGCTGTCTCGCCAAGGGAAGTGGAAATTTGGTGACCTTGGCTCTGGTCCATCAAAAGATATTTCTGAATCCGATCCCAAGAACCCAAGGAAGCGACAAATACCGGAAAAGCATACATGAAGTTCAACATGGGCTTGCTGACTAGACCAATGAGGGATAATGATGAGAATGCTTTCGCAGGATTAAGTCCTTGCCCGGAGTGGCTAGAAATAAGGGCATAGACTATGAAAGCTGCAGCAGGGGCAATGGTCTCCGGTAGAACACCAACCGTCATGCTGATGGTAGCATTCTGCCGAAACCTTTTGGACTTTTCCAACTCCTTGACACGCAAATCATCAATTTTGGCGGATGAGGATTTCGAGATGCCAGACATGCGAATATTTTTGATATTGCTGAGAAAAGAGGATGTTGAACTGATTCTGTCTTGAAGTGCGTCCATCCAGAGGCTCTGTGCAGTCTTTGCCCACTTTGACAATGTATGAACAGACGCAGTACACCCTGCAGCATAAGTCTATTAATTATTGACGCAATGCGTCACAGGAGGGTAGTTTGAACTTACCAACTACAAAAACAACAGGTGCGAGGCAAGCAAGCCCGATCTGTCTGTACAAGAGATAAAGTGCCAAGCCCACCTCAATAGGTGAAGCCCATAGTACGTCCGAATTCTCGAAGCCTGCGGCTATTCGATCAAAATCCTCACTCATAAGAGTAAGCACAGATTGGTCGGCTAGCGTGGATCCTGAAAGACGAAGGGTGTGGTTGTATAATAGGCTAAGGAGCCCTCCTCGAATCATTACAATGCATCGATAGGTTTGATGCTTGTAAGCTGCCGTAGAAATTGCGATTCCTAGATAAACCAGAAGGGCAGCACCTATCAGTGCTTTACCGACAAATTGGGTCTGTTCGTTCGGCGCGCCATCTATGAATGAGATCACTCGGTAAATCAAAAGTGGCTGAGCAATATTGAAGCCAATCAAACAGATTCGGGGGAAAATGACATGAACAACAGGCTTATAAGCAACCTTCAATGTCACCCATGCTAAGCTGTACTTGGAAGACTTTCTGCAATGCCTCCAAGCATGCTCCATTTGAATCCCGACAGTCTCAGATGTCAATCTCGGATCCAGTGGCGGAAGGTCCTGTTGTTGAACAGAGTGGGAGGAGCCCCGGAGGAGCAGTGAATTCAACCACCAAAATACACTGCGATTGAAAATACCCCCTAAGGCGTCGGAGGAATAACGAGAGTATGGAACTTGCAGAAGATGACGTTTTTGAATTGACTCAATGAAAAGCGTGATCAGTTTGATAATCACAATTGCAAGGAACACAATCGCAATTTGCCGATGGCTTCCCCTGAGCCATAGTGTTCGCGCTTGGCTTCCATCTAAAAGCGTACTGATTGCAAGATATCCACTCAGCAAAAAGGATGGACGAAGTGAGCGATGATGTTCTTGATAGGATACGAGAGCGAGACTTAGTGTCGCTAAGAAACTGAGACATGCCGCTGGCAATGAAACCCGAGTCAATTTGCTGCGAGGCAAGGCATAGAGGACGATCAACGATAATTGCAAACATCCAAGAGCGGTTACTGTTGTCTACAGTTTTTATATTAGCTCATACCTAGGTATTTCTTTTGGCTTACCTATGTATAAATCAGTCATCGAAATAGGGTGTCCTACAATTTTTGCAAGTATCAGCCAGTCAATAGAGGTTTTTAATACCCTTTTCCTCTTGGTAAGTTCAAAATAGCGATAGACGGAACAGGCGAGAAAACATAAAGTAGGGAGCAGTGAAAAGAGAGATTGCTCAAATAATAGGGTGAAGTCAGTGTTATCTCGACAACCCCGAATTGTAGGACCGAAAACGTTGTCGGCACGATCACATGTGTCGCCCATATCGAGCAAATCGGAGTGGAGAGAGAGATCAAGCAAAGTTGAAATTATTTCGCAAGCGGAGGGGGTTGTCAGGTGGTCAGGTGGTCGGGTGGCTTTTTACTAGTCGTTTCCTAGTCCACGGGTATCTGTTAAATTCACCTCGGCACATTCAAGTACTTTCAGCTCCAAGTTTCTCATCCACGGTGGGTGCCTACCAACTGGCATATTGCCCGATCGCTCAGTTAATCTCGTTCGCTTTTTGTGATGGGACTTTTGTCAAAAAGGAGCTCACACTAGAGCTTATCTAGCGGCTGCAAGTTCCTAAGCATAGTCCCTTCCCCTCCGGTAGAGACCCGAAGTTCTCAACACGCCCATTTTTCGACGCTTTGGGCGCACTCCGTATGGTGATGAACTCCATAAGTCTTTGTGACTTATGAACCAAGTCGACAAGCACCCAAAGAGCCAGTACGAGGTGCTAAATCTGAAGACGATCTTGGACGTTACAACTTTCGCCGTTGAGCAAGAGCGCACGCACAATAACGCGTCTCATGACAGACAGCTGGTACATTGCTGGCCATAGGAGATCTCAATTGGTCGATCTAGGTTGACACATTATTTTCTTCTGTGAATAACTGTAGCTTTTGCCAGCATTGCAGGATACAAACAAACAAATGAAACCTCTGCATACACAATTATAGGGTGGCGTATATCTAGCATCAACAGCCTATTCTTAAATTGACCTGCTTAGGTGATAGACCCATCTTTCAGACTGTCCTTCGATTCCTTTTTGATACATGATTAATTACGCCAGAAGCCCGGTTGCCTCGTCTCGTCACAGAAATAGTCAATCATCTGAGGAGGCCGAAGATATTCCTCATGCCATAAAGCCATGCGTGTCCACGCAAACCGGTCGTACGTTTCAACGTACTCCGAAATAGACATGTACATCCATCCAACATCCTCCTCCTCCTCATCCGTAGTCCCATCATGCCACTCGGGATCAATTTCGTAATCTCTCTCCTCAGGTCTCAAATCGCCCCATTGCTTATACATGATCTTAACAACGGGACTGTCCATATGGTCCAAAGACTCCAAACATATATCATCAACAAATAAGGCCAAGTTGAACCGTGCTCCAAAAATGTATTCAGGCCCAGGAATTTCGGTTTTCTTCTCTGAATGCGAGTCAAGGATCCGTTGTAGTGTTTCAGGTGTGTCAACCACTTTTGGTAGCTGTTCTGCCACCCAACCATGAAAATGATCGCGCACCTCATGCGAAGTCGCACCGTTGAACTTCTCCGGCTCGCCATGGATCACGAGATCATGGGCCTCTTGGAGCTCTGTTCGTTCTTCTCCAGGTGGCATGGAACGCTCAATCGATTTTTGCACGTGTTGCTGAATGAGCTGGAGCATTTTGTGCCAGGCAGCATTGTCTTTGAATGAGCATCGATAAATGCAAAAGCCCCACGGAAGATTTGGCTTTCTCTGGAAATCTGATCGTGTCATTTTGATCCCCTCAAATGGAATATCTCCTCCTGATATTGGTCCCGTGATTGACATTTTGCAGATGATTTGATGACAAGGTTGGCGGAACGAATTAATAACTCGCGGTCTGAAGAGCAGCATCTCAATGGGGGATCAAGCCAGGAAAATTGTCTCGCTAACTGTGGTATTTGAAGGATGTAGGATTATTGGAAGGGAAATGAATGGATGAAAATCGGAAGTAGAGAAGAAAGAGGAAGAGGAAGATAAGATGTCGAAAGCTATATTACAATACATGACTAAGTACTGAGTATTTAATGACAGAAATCTCGGGTCCAGTAAGGTATGGTATAAATGACAGATCTATATGACTCTAACTAAAATAATAGATATCCCGTATTTAACAATTTGTACGGATAATAAAATAAGCTTGATATATAATTTATATAGGGCCTACTATTATAGCAGTATATATATATTTTAAGGTATTAAATACTTAGTTCTAGTCTATCATATAACCTAGGTAGACTGCGACATCGCACGTCCATGGGCACCAGGAAGTGTCCACGGCCCGTGGGCCTTTTTGAAATTTGACGCCCATCGCCGAACGTTATGCAAAATTAATGCAAAAATTACCCTATTAGGCTATTTTATACATAACTAATTCTTGGCAGTGTCCACCTTGCTAAGAGTGCCCGCATATGTCCTGGCGAGGCTAAAAGTGTCTCCACTTTAATGGACGTTGTCGCAGTCTACGAAGTGCTCCTCTAGTTTCCTGAATAGCCTGCTTTTAGAGAAAGCTAATATATAAGCTGAAAGTCTTCCCTAGAGGTGCCCTATTAAGCGAAGACGCTGCTCTTTAGGCTCTTAAAGTTCTAAGAGGCTTAAAAATAGTATTTTTGGGACTATTCTTCCTAAATTTCTACTACTGTAGATAATATAGGTAATAAAATCTCTGACCATGGTTATATCTCTTTCTAATAGAAAGCTTAGGTGACCTTAGTTGTTAACTCTCCCTTGATAAATGAAATCAAGCTCCTGATGGAGAAGTATCTAGCTCTTATCCCATAAGTAAAAAGGCTGGTTTATATTTACTAGTGCATGTGGGAAGCCTACTTGAAGGAATACAGAAAGGTCAAAGAAGCTAGAGATGAAAATCGTCTTGGAAATTCAAACAGCTGGCTTGAGGGAAACAATGAATCTCTACACTTAAAGTGAATAAAAACCAGTCAATAAATATTTCTAGTTATATTTTTAGTTGTCCCCGAGTATGTACACACTCCCCTCTAAAATTATTCCCTTTTCAAGCCCAGCAGCCGTGATATTTGCGTATGTTTAAGAAGGTGTATCACGAATTGATCGCTCAAACCTCCGAGTCTTAACTGGTTTATTAACCAAATATTTCTGATGTCACTGCAGAATTCGAAAATTTCCATATTTTTCCTGGCCACGAATGGAAATAACTGAGCAGCCTTGATTCCGGATTTGACCCTGCTCAGGCTGAGGGCTCAGAATGAAGCCAAGAAAATAGTGCTCGGCTCTCGCCGAAGTGGTAGCTCTTGCAGGAGCGGCGGCTCTTCAAGGCCCCCCAGGAACTGACTTCCGGGTAAGATCGGCCATCACATCCACCCTGCATGGCCCCCGGTCATACAGCCTGATAATCGCTCACTCCCACATTCTCAAATATACGACATGTCAGATCACACGATCCTGGAGTATGTGGAAAAGACACAGTCATCTTACCACTAGGCTGCATCAAAAATAAATCATGGCCTGTAATTATGGCCTAGAGGGGGCTATTTTTTAGGTTGAAAGATTATAAAAATCCAGGGTAGCATCTCTCAAGGCTAGAATGCCGCTCCTAGTGTATCCTTATTCAGTGGATGCATGCATGTCTCAGAAAATCACTCACGTTTTACTAGAAAATGAATATGATAGTAATGCGCTACTAAGATCTCCGTCTAAAACATATTTGGTCACTGCGTATTGGATCCATCCATGACTCGAGGTACAGCGGCGATCCCAGGTGGAGAAGCAGAGTAGCATTGACGATGGTCACGTATCTACGGAGTAACTGTCTATGGGATAGATGGCTAGACTAGCTAGTTGGCTCAAAGAAATAAAAGGACTCCTTCTCGCTGTTTTTTTGCTTTGAATCTCACATCACTTCCCTCTATTCCACTGGAAATATCAGCAGCAAGGCCAGCCTCCTTATTTCGCCATATTTATCGAATAATCTGTGCGACTGGAGCTATCGCGATTTAGACTTCGAAATACCTGTTGAGTCAAGCATAACGTATGTTTATCGAAAACCTATGCTTCTAATTCTCGGAAGGATGCCTCAGGGGTCAGGCTGTACATGACTAACACCCCTGCAGAGACCCTTGAAATACCCCTCATCCGACATGAAATCCATCTCCACCTCCCTCGTCTTATTCCTGTGCTTCTTGACAGCCATGGTTGAAGGTCTCACCCGTTACCAAGCCACACCCCCAAGCGATGCCATCGTCTGTCATGACAGACAGGCTCTTAACGATCTGGCCTCGGCCCACCCGGATGGGCTTCTTTATCCCGAGAATGGAGGCTACTACCTGAAGGATGGGGATGAAGTCGTCGTTGGTATCGCAAGCGACGATCTTTGCACGGAGCTGGACGGTGCCTTTGCTAGCGTGGAAGCAAAAATTGCCCAAGAAGGTGAGGGCACTGGATCCGAAGCCAACACTTCTGATGCTGAAAATGTCATCAAGAGAGCTGAAAATGCCTTGCATAACTCATGCAGTCACCCTCGCTGCTTCAATCACGCCCATTGTCTGACCTACTCACACTGCCATATCTGCTCTTCCCACAAGCATTGTATCTAGAACATCCTCCAATCTTTATGGTGGAGATGTTGTTGGAGAGATCGACGAAGGCCTAAGGAGATGTGGGACGGACAGTGAAAGCGGGGAAGGGGGTTCGAGACGAGAGTACGATTGAGAATACCGAGAAAGATCGTTTAGCACCTATGGAATGGCAGAAGTCAACTGGTTATGAATACTGTCGAAAGCTATGTTACAATACATGACTGGGAAACCGAGTATTCAACACCTCGGCACATACATGGATTGTCAAGTAGTGGGTTTTTGTCATTTTAGTTAGTTAGAGTCATACATATCTGTCATTTTGACCATACAGTGCTGTACCCGAGATTTCTGTCATTATCTGTATCCCCTGCACACATTGACTCTGGGCCATCACCGTCGAGTACTAATACATAGACACCAAAGTGAAATTCACGATAAAATAAAGAATAGTTCAAACCGTACCAATTCATTGCCCCACGTATGGACCAAGATTTGAGGCAAATGCTTAATTCCTATGGAATTATGTTGTACTTCGCGACATCATCTAAATCAGGCTAGACCCGGGCGTGAGATGCAGTTCAGGGGGCGCGGACCTCGGGATAACAAATTCCTATATTATTACCTTCCATCCTACTCTGTGTGCTTGCTCTTCACCCAGACCATGCCTTCACCGCGGGATCCCACTTACGATGAAACAACAAGCCTGCTTCAAGAGGAACCAGAAGGCTCAGCTCAGTCAAATTTGGTCAAAGAACCAGTCTACCCTCGTTGGATAATTACAGTTGTGCTATTATGCGGCGGCGCGGTTCTTTTCGACCTTTCTAACAATCTGGGTGAGGTCGCCGAGGTCGCTATCTTGGAAGACATAGTATGCCGAGATTATTATGCCAAGTCTGCTGTAAACACTATTATTTCTGCTGCAGAAAGATGCAAGATAGAGCCTATTCAGACGGAAATCGCATTGCTCAACGGCTGGAGAGAAACGTTCGAGACTATTCCTGGTGAGTTCATTATTTTGGGAAAGCGGGGTGTCTCACAATTCTTTTTAGGAGAACAGCAAAACTGAACTTTGGAATAGCAATACTTCTGGCCGTGCCTTATGGAATGCTGGCGGACTGGATTGGATACCGACCGGTCGCTTTGTTGGCCTTTTTCGGTAGTGCCATGTCCTCCAACTGGAGCAGAGTGGTTTGTTAGTCTAAACTCGCAGTCGCATATATATTTTTACCTTCTCAATATACTAACCTTATCTTATAGTTTGGTTCTACCCCACATTACCCACTCGTGCTCTTTGGTTCTCTGCCCTATGGCAGGTTCTAGGAGGAGGGCCGCAGGTCGTAACGTCCTTGAGTTTCTCGGCTGTCGCTAGTATCACCCCTGCTCAAAAGAGGTATGGCTAATACAGAGTTTGATGATATGATGTTTGCTAAGGTCATACGCACCAGAACGACTGTCTTCTCCCAAATGACAGCGGTTATCTTGGCTACGGAGCTGATTGCACCCCCAGTTGGTGCCGCGCTGATGAAAAAAAACCCTTGGATACCGTTCCTCGCTTCATCTGTAATTGCTGCAACTTCAATTATTTGGGCATTGTTGTTCTTCCCTGCCATTCAAACCCAGGCTAAGCCGACTTCTACCCCAAGCTATGATCAGCCGCCAGTTCGGAACTGGTACGCCTCTGAAAGAATCCGAGACCTCTATGAGCAGCTCTCGAGGAATAAGAATGCTGCACTTGTTGTTGTCTCATTCTTTGTTACACTTGTGGGGACACACGCCTTCGCACTGCTGTTGCAATATATCTCTAAAAGATTCCACGTATCATATGCGGAGGTATGTTCTCTATGTGGTTTCTATACTCAGGAGTCAATTCTGAATACTAATCATATCCTCATTTTTGATAGGCATCATACGTGCTGCCACTTCGAGCTAGCTTTAACCTGATATCTCTATTCATTCTGCTTCCCGCTGTGACAGGCTATCTTGATCGCAAACATGGGTGGGAGATGGCCAGAAGAGACAAAATACTTACTCAGGCCAACGCACTGTTGATGCTTCTGGGTTGCCTGTTTATTTTTGTGGCGCCAAATCTAATCTTGCTGAGTGTTGGAGTGGTGGTGTTCGGTTTAGGGTCGTCATTCTCAGTCACGGCGAGAACATTGGTGACTTCCCTCGTTGAGCCAACATCATTGAGCACAATCTACACACTGCTCAGTGTGATGAGCTCAATTGGATCCCTAGTAGCAGGGCCTTTGCTTGCAGGGGTGTACCATCTGGGGATGGTCCTAGGTGACGCATGGCTCGGTCTTCCTTTTTTGTTCGCAGCGGCATTATACGGGCTTGCACTGATCGCCATATCTGCTGTGAGGGCTATTACAAGAACGGCATGATTTAAACGGAAGTTACTTAGGTAGAATGTTCAGAAACCCAGAAGCTCAGAAGAGCTATCCTGTCTTTTATGAACGCCATCATCGCCAAAAATCATCACGCTAGTGTTACGGAAATTCTTGAATCTATCAGCGTTTGTGACTTGTGCGACGTATATATGCAGGAAACCAGGGCATCAGGCCAAGGTTTGTTTAGAAATAGATATTTATTGTATTGTGGTGGGTGAGTGACCTACTCCCCTGTGAATTATGTTAATCTACCAAAATTTAAATTTCAATGCACCACCCAAGTCCTGTACACACGCCATAACCAACACCCTCCATAGCCTCATGGTGGAGACGCAAGTTCCTTTACCCCTTCGGGCTTGGATGCCGGTCTGATAGTTATCTGATGGTCCCACGCCCAATCGACAACTGCATCGAAATTGCGACAGGTATGTTTAGTGTTGAAATTGGGGTGTGGCAAGCTGCTCCCGGCTACCCAGTTTGTAGAGACAAGGTTCGTGTCCGCATGGCACATGACAAACTGCCTAATCATTTCAACGCAATGGTCTAGGTTTGGTTGTTAGAAGAAGCTGTTAATGTTTGAATGGATAACCGACCGATATGAGTGCGCTGCATTGATGCACTGTCCATGAACTCCTCTTGTTCTTCTTTGTAATGGTCTCGGTATGTCCACATGCGTATAAAGTTCTAGAACAAAATGACACATATTAGAGAAAAGTAGTCGAGAGAGTACGCTGGAGGGAGAATAATGGGACCTTACCACACAATGCATTTGATGCGAGAATTCAAAATGAACTCGATAAGCGCCTCCATCCTCAGGAGGAAGCTTCACTGAAGTATCTGGATCCATTCCCAATAGTCGCATATCATTGTCAGACAAAGAAACATTCACTGCTCCAACTATGTTGCGATATTAGCATTCCCTCACGAATTAACTACTCAATTAAGTTAACTTGAATGCTTTTGTTTGATGCTTACGGTTGATAGAACGAGCCCATGCGCGATCAATATCTGGTGATGGTGGACCTCGAAATTTTGATGGATAGTCCAGAGTTCCGTTGAATGTGATTATCTGATCGTACGATTGTGGAAGAGACTGGAGGTGTTTTTCTGTAAATAGGTCAGCTTTGAATCGTCTCAAATAGTGCTAACATTCATTACCTTGAAGATAGGGCAGTGCCGCTGAAGGTTGAGCATGCAAACCATCTGGTCTTACCGAGGCGTGCCCAAGGCCAAATACAAGAGCAGTATATCCGGCGAATAGAGTCAACAGCCCAAGCTTTTTAACGATAGATATCTTTGAGCTTCTTGTCACATCCAAGACTTTTGGCTCGTTTTTCACATCATCATAGACATCGTCAGTCTCACTTTCATCAATACTCAGCCTTGCCTCAACATCCTGGAGAGCGGAGTATCTGTTGGGCATTTTGACAGGCTAATGAAATAAATCCTTAGCCTGTTGAAAGACTTTTAGTTGCAAGATGTTTTGTATAAAAAAATTGAATCATCTTTCGGCACACTGATAGACTTCCGGCCATTCAATCCTTGATTTTTGCGAAAAGGCGGGGCTTCTTCATGCAGACGATGGCGGCATAATCGGGATGCATTTGTTGGAAGATAAGAGGAAAAACTATGTGGAGATCATGAAACTGACAGTGCATTCCACACAATTTGACAATGCATTAGCTCTGATTTTTCTCACTGCAGGAAGTATATACGTCCAAAAGTGCACGTGCGGCAGACCACTTGCAACACTAACTCCATGAAGCAATTATTCGACCTACGCGATACGAAGGGATCAGTGAGGGGTGGAACTATGATCATTCATTTCACACGACAATATTTGCAAGTCATTCAACAAGGGATAGGGCATCATGGGAATTCGCTGCGATTAAAATACTTCCAGCCTTCATACTTGATGGCCTCGCGCGATGTAGATTCACTAGCAACTTATTTTCCCTACATTGAATAATCTATAGAACAAATATACAGCACCTAAATTCGAACTTCAGCTTTTAACTAGATTTAAAAACACTTTCCACTGTATCATTGATTTCCCAGTCCCATTTTTCGATTGGGACTTCCTCCGACCGTCGAACAATATCCCAAATATGGCGTGAATCACGACATTGATGCACATATCCCATACCATCAACATTCAGATCGACTAAATTCCCATCGCTATCGTAATGCTCTTGTGGTGGCTCGATCGTGTCATCAGCGGAGCACATCAAAGACTATCGATCGTTATGTCAGAATATTCGCAATCAGTTTTTCGATTAGTTAATTGAAGAAGAAGAGATGAGGTTCCCACCTGAGTAATGTAGCTAAAGCAGTGTTGCAGATGAGATTCATCTAAGTGTTCTGAATGTTGTTCATGATGATTTCCATGGCCCCCTGGCATAGAGGGAGTCCCCATTTCTTTTGCCTGTTGGAGCGAACTGCGAATCAACTGAAGACAATGTAGTCCATGGAACATCGAAACCCCCCACTTCTCCTTTACAGTTTCGTTCCTGCGGACCATCAGAAATCCACCATGGGGGGTAAATAGCTCTGTCTCCCATGCTTCATCACCCTTGTGCGATAAATCCTCCAGAGCAGGGTGTGTTGTAAACTCTCTCGGTATAGTGAGGGCTTCTTGATGGTGCATGCCACAAAGCGATCTTTGGATCTTGGATGGACTCCAGAGATCGGGTTTGAAAATGAAAATGAAAGTCAAGAAGATTACAGGCGACAGAATCAAGGAGACCTTGAGTAGGAAATTGACGGCCATTGTCGTTCTTTTGGGACCAAAAGATAAATAGAGATGAAGGGGAAATAGCTCAAGTGTTATGCATTGAGACTGGACCCTGGCAAAATAAATAGGTGCCCGGGATATCAAGGCCGCTACTAGTTAATCCATGGCATTCATTCGTCGTCTTTATTTAGCCCGGCACGTATCAGTCGACCTCTGACCTGGGTGGACCAATTTCTACATATTAACAGCACACGTTCAGCTTTGACGTACTGATTGAAAACTGGCTTTTGCATGTTTGTAGATATTATTTGCAGTGTACACACTAGTAGTCGACTGTTTACTCGTCGCTAACTGAATATTTCCATCCTTGTCTCTCATCTTTCGAATATATAGCACCTCATAGTCCAAAACATCTCTAGGCCCCATTCTTTGTTCTGTTCCAATCGGGCTCCAGAAAAGCTGGGCCTTTTAGAGAGGTTGAGATCAGTATCTTTTTCAATACACAGTTAGGGTGTCAATGTCCATACCTAGTTCAGGGTGCACAATCAGACTGTAGTCATTTACGTCAATCGCTCGCTCACTAGCCCATTTATCGATGCTTTCCCAGTTTCTACATTCATGAGCCAAACCAAAGTCGGGCCATGGAAGACTGTAGTTGGGAATCCACTTGTAAGTTGTCAACGCAATATCTCCTCGGCACATAACAATTTGGCGTAGCATGTCAATGCAGTGATCTTTCCAAAATTTTCCAACGTTAGATCATATAAAAGTTCAGTACTGGATATTCACGGAGGGGTGCCCGCTTAGATGGTACTCACCAACATGATCTATATTTGACACTGGCGTAGTTTTGAGGTTATAGTATTCCGAGTGAATGTACTCCCGAATATATTTCTATTCAGGAAGGTCAGCAAAATATATGCTGGGAGGTATTTATCCGCACGATACTTACCACACAGTGTAGCTGATGATAGACATCTGCTCGTAATCATCGTCAATACGTAGACCGGACCAGAACTAGGGCCAATATGAAGCGCTGAGATCTTCAACTTACCAAGCGTTCCATAGAAGTCGCCGGAGCCGTCTGCCAGCTCGATCGATTTTCTCTCTGTTTTTTCAAGCTCGTGTGGTTTAAGCCGTATGTTTGCGTCTTGTTTGATCAGTACTGTATTCGTTGGGATTCGCTTGAGGCTTACTTTTGAATAGTCTTGTCCATGCGGCATCATTGGATGGATTTGGTTTTCCGCTGTATTCGTTTTCAGACTCTAATTCCACGTGTATCACCCTTTTCTCAGGCTGTACAGCATCTCTTGCGGGTGCTAGTGAAATCGGTTAATAAACAAAGAAGGCAATACATTGAATCCGAACTCACAGTATATCAATGACGGTTCGCATTCCGAGCTTGAAGGCGAATATGAGGCACTCTTCAGGAGACATGCAAAGAAGAAGAGATTAAAGAATGCGAAAGTGCAATTCAACCAAAAATACCGACTTTGGTAAATTCGTTGCAGCCCTTGCCTTCTATTACTTCTGTCAGACTGACTCGAAGCCTCCTCTTTGAGCAGTGAAGCCTCTGGGTCGTCAATATCTAGCGACATAGTACCTAGATTATTGTACCGAGCTATATGCATTCTAAACAAAATTCCATCCCTCCTCTTTAACTATGACCGGCACTAGGACAGTCTGACGAAATCTAAAGATAAGTCGAAGATTGTACGGCCGACAGGCCCCGATGCCTTATTGGTCAATGCATAGTCAGCACTTGACATACATGGTTACATAGGTGCATAGGTGCATAGGTATGTAGTAAGATACCAAAATATGCATTTCATATCTGCCCCTCATCTGTATGAGCACCGGAATTTCCTCTTTCGGGATAGCCCATCACAACCTGCAATTCCCAATACAGAGTAGTGCTATGGTGTCTAGGGTGTTGCTTATTACGCCTTTTTTAAACATAATTTCACGAATCGGAGGCGAATCTCACGGCCCCGGGGGCCTTCAAGCAACCATGTCAGCAGCCACCCCTGCACTAGTCCCAATTCGACCGTGTCCCGTGCCAAGAACCGCTTGACTATTCACACCCCTACGCTTGGCGCCGGCTACAACCGCCAGTCATTCTTTAGTCGAATCTTGAAGTGCTACCTCAAAACAGCCCCCGAAAGCCCTATTGGCACACGTCGAAATTTTCCCGCCCCCAAATATTAGAGGGACCACGGAAGAAGATCTCGGGAGAGAAACACTACGTGCGATTCTTATCAAACAGCATCCAACTACTACCCGAGGACGACATATATAGTTAGCTAGCAAACAGGTGCTGACACCGTGGGTGCCTCATCCCTCAGGCCACCGAAAACAGATTTCAATGGATATTCACATCAAACTCAGCCGTCCTTATGTTCAACAACACGCCGAGAGCCGTTCGGTGCTCCGACGGGAAACCGGATGCGCGATGCAATTGTTTCATCCTGTCAAAATACCCCTGTTGGTGCTGCAGCAATGGAGCAAGATCCGCCTATATTACGTGAGATGGCGAGACGAGCTTCCCACTGACTATGGACTAGCTTGCCCAGTCAACTCATGTGTGCCATTTTAAATTCGAGTTGCCAGTCCCATTACACACCTAAGGGAGGCGTCGTTTGGATGAGGTTGGGCTTGCAAAATGTAACCCCGTATTATTTCCTACGTACTCAAATCAGCCAAGAAGATCTAGTGTGGGGTTATAGTGGTAATCCAGGTGATCATCACGCCAAGTCTACTAGATCCAGGAGAAGCATTATCCCGATAAGGAGTTCACGTCTAAGGAGCTCTAACCGATGGCGTATTTAAATAAGATACCTAGGTAAGACACGATAATGAGATATCGCATTGATGAATAAGTACTGCGCAGTTTTAACGACGATCTTAGAGTAATGGAGTAATGCTTTGACCATTTCCGGCATTGCGTGTGATGGATTATTATACAGAGCCTTTCACGTTTCAGTCCATCGACAATAGTATCACCCATGTACAAAATGGGCAAACATTGCCATGTGTTAATAACCACATGAACCCTTTACTTCTTGGCTTGGAAAACGGACAAGAAAGTCGTCGGAAGAAACAAAATCGCTTATACCAGCGTAAGCATCGTGAGTGGTAGACTTATACCCTGAAGTTCTGCGTCAAAACTCTAACTGCTATGGTGGATCCTTGTTGCAGGACAAAGATCAAAGGAGTCGATGCCATCAAGAAATGTTGAACCTTCTATGGAACAAGGACAAGAACAAGGTATACTTGTTATCTAGTCGAGGCACCACTATGCGAATCGTAACATGCTAACTGTCGATCACTATTTAGTCCCTAATGTTCTTCCAACTGTGTCCCCGGGATTAATAGAGAATACCCATGGTAATGGAGGTAACGCGCAAGGGTCTGAAGCCCCGTTAATGGTCACCGATTTCTCAGTCACTCAAATGGTCGGGAATGTATTAGAGCATGATCAGGGGCGGCGGGGATCTTGGTTGACCTCCTCGGGGCGGGGCTGCTTTCAAGAGGTATGATTAGAGATTTACAAGACTTAATTGCTGGTTGAGATGCATAATCTCAAACTGATACCCTCTGATCACGGCCTTCAAATTGATCGGTCTCACGTCAAGGCTGTTTGAGAAACCGAAGATCTAACTGTGTCTCAATCTCTAGTCTGAATTTCA